GGAGGATAACAATGGTCTTGAATTTCCTCCATTTGTACACAATCTATCTGGCTGTGAATTTGTGGAGTCCAAACTCTTTAGAGATGGTTTTGTTCATTTTCTAGCCTGATGAGCAACAACGACTCTTTTTCTGAGGTCCTCGGAGATCTGCTTTGTTCACGCCATGAAACACTTACACAAACATGATCAGACTTTGATAGATACATGTTCTTTGAATAAAACAGGGCACACACTGACATTAACTGCCAATAAATTAACTGCCAATCCTAGAGATTCACATAGTTTTGCCACTCAAAGATATGCAATATTGGTTCATTTTCCAGAAAAAAATACATGACAAAGTATACATTTTTGTCTTGATTGTTTGATTTGGGTTCTATTTGTCAACTTTCAGGATTTGTGTGAAAATCTTATCATCTTTTGGGTCATATTAATGCAGAAATATAGAAAATTCTTAAGGGTTCACAAACTTTCAAGCAGCACTGTATATTCACTTTTATCATTTCTTTTTATGATACATTTTTAAGGTGTTGACCATGTACAGTCTACAGCCCAGGTAAGCTTTATACTTTTACATTATATGTAGCTATGGTGGGAAAGTGCATTAACTTCGCCTGTCAAATAAAAATTATGAACATTAATCATTTAAGATATTTATAAACCATTCAGAATATTATATATAACAGTACTAGGACTGAGTATTGTTAAAATGATATAATTCTCCTATTAGACTGCAGACATAGAAAATTATGCATCGCTGAAGGTCTCTCCGCACCAGCCTACACGAAAAATGAAAAGCCGTGAAGAGGCAACCTCTGTCGTCTATGCATCTGTCCATCAAACAAGAAGCATAAAACAAGGATCTCCTCATTCTTAACGCTTGTCATTTTTTTAAGTGTGAATAATATTGACTTTGGAGAAAGGTGCTTTTTGTCAGCAAATTTTTTAAAAGAATGTCACATCATGTGGTCTCATATGAGCATTGGAGCATTCAGCTGCAAGACATTGTCCTCCAATTTAAAAAAATGTTTTTTTTAATTGTATTTTGATCTCAGTGTGGTTTAAAGTTGACAAAGGGATGAGGGACAAATGTCTGTCTTTTGTAAATTTTTTATGTTGTTGTAAAGGGTAATCGGAGTGTGCGGTCATCATGTTATTCAATGTCTAAATTGTACACATTAAAACATGGAAAAAAATGTGTGTTTACAATAACTTACCATTAAATTCAGCACCATGGAGAGGGGCAACCTTTAGCAATTGAGGAAAAAAAAATCTTTCAGTCCAAACAGCTTGCCATCAAAAAAACAACAACAACAAAACTTATTTAAAACAAACCAACAATGACCCAAATATGGAAAAAGATATAGTAGATGTAGTATATATGTACTAGTTTGTAGTATACAGCATTATACTGAAATGTACTACTAGTCACCTCCAGGTGATGGCAGTCAGATGTCATTAGTGCACACAAACACAGATTTACAGATAATACTCTTTATTCACTATAGTAATAGCATACAATAGCTTCCATTTGTGAACTTATAATCTTTATACAACGCTCCTTCAAATGATTGTTTTCTTCTTCATTTTCTAGACTGCTCTTAATGTTTTAGTATCATCATACCATGCACTTGTCCCACAATGTTTCAGTCATTTTATATTATAGTTCACATATCATAACATGATGTTGTAACATACTTATTGAGATTTTTGCATGGCCTCACCCTAAGCATTTCAATGAACTCTAAATCTCATTCATTTGGCCTGCTGGCAAGATTAGATGTCTACTAGTTGCAGCTGTTTACATACTGTACTTAGCAGCTTACTTCAGGAATTTATACTCTGTTTAAATCCTGATTGAGGCTATGCATCAGAATAGATCATTTACAAATCATTAAAGATTATGTGATAATGTACCACATCTGTTAGAAGCACAAGTTAAACAAGGAAATGGGCAATGACTTGTTAGCTCAGAGAGCCAATGCAATGATGTGATGCTTCCACTCAAAGCAGAGGAAAGGTTTCAGAGAATTTAAGGTTGAGCACTGAAGGTCATCTGAAAATGTATGTCATTCTCTTCATTGTATGGGTTCTCTTTTATAAACCATGTAAGTACAAAACTACAATAGTAATGGTTTCACAAGTTTTTCTTGAAACTTCTGTACTTTTCATTGTGTCGCTTATGTTTCAACAAATGTCTTCGCATTATTTTACAGCAATGCAATATTCTGAAAGTGTTCTGCAGATAGAAGATGTAGCAGTTCAAGTAGGTGATGATGTGACATTTCACTGCTTTCACCCAAAAGACCAACTGAATAGAGTTATGTGGTTCAAACAGACTCTGGGAGAGAGACCTGTTCTTGTAGCCTCTTCATATCACTGGACTCAAAAAAGTGTACTTTATGATGATTTTGAAAAGTCAAAACGCTTTAGGGTAGGTGCAGGGATTGGCAGCTTTAATTTGACTATTCAAAAAACGGCACAATCCGATTCAGCTGCATATTATTGTGCTGTTTCTTTTTCTAATGTTGTCTACTTTGGAGCAGGAACTAATCTAGTGATTAGAGGTGAGTGATCAATATTTAGACTAACTCTTTATGAAATTAGTAATGTTTTACAGTCTCAAATTCATGATATTTCTTCAACAGGTTCTAAATCCAACAGGATTCATATTCTACAGCAGCCTACATCATCAGGTGGAAATGTGACTCTACTATGTACAATCCAAAACGAACAAGACAGCTGTGGAGGTGATCACAAAGTATACTGGTTCAAACACGGTTTAGGAAAATCCCATTCAGGAATCATTTATACTCAAGGAAGTTGTAAAAACAGCTCAATGGCTGTTTCTCCTACCAAGAGCTGTCTCTACAGTCTCTCTTTGAGAAACATCAAGCCCTCTGATGCTGGGACTTACTACTGTGCTGTGGTCACATGTACAGACATTTTATTTGGACATGGAATTAATCTGACTTCTGATGGTAAGTGTGTTAAATACAATTTATAACAAGTTGTGTACATCTTAAGCAGCCATTTTACGGTTGATGACGCAGTATTTTTAGTGAGCTAGTGTATTGTACAATGCTAAGACAAAACCTTTTGACATCTAGCACTATGTAGTATAACACACAGAGTACCTTAGTGTGCATAAAGTGTTTGAAACATGTTGTTCATCTGCAATATTTAATTTCTGTTGATGCAAAATTAATCGCATGCTTCTTTAATTGCATGCTGCATGTAGTTCCAGGACGCAGCATGTGGTGCATTCAAGTTATGTGTTACTTGTTTCAGATGAACATAAAGGCAAGCACATAAAGATCTTCATTCTAATTGGCCTTGCAGCACTGCTGACCATAAGCTTCTTCAGTAATATTCTACTTTGCGTGAAAAAGATGAAAGGTAACAGCTCACTTTAATGTATTTATATATATAATACATCACATGAAATACATAAAGATATACATTAAGGTGAAAACATGCACAATTTTTTATTATTCAGAACTATTATGTAAGATTTATTATAAATAAATATTTAAATGTAATATAAATTTATTATTATAAATAATATATTAATAAAATTACCATCATTCCTTTTAACCTGCACAGGTAAATATCAATGCCATTTTAAAGTACTAAAAATCATCTAATATTTTATCTTATAACAGGCAACACATCTCAACATGTTCATGCTACAGACAATATAGTGTCAAATGTACAGGTTTGTATTACATGGACAGATAAAATTATATTTTAAAAGTCATGTATTTAGACAACTGTGGTTTAGATGATGTACATCACTTAATGGAAACGTTTATTAAATATATATATATATATTATTTTAGTACCACAGGACCTCCGATTTGAATTATGCCGCCTTAAAATTCACAAGCCAAAGCTCAAGACAGCAGCGAGAGGAGAGACAAAGACCGACAGAGTACTCTGGACTGAAATGTAAAAACTCTCTATCGTAATACTGAATATGCATAGTTGCTAATAATGTTTTCTAACCAGAGCCACTTTGAATACCATATGGTAAATCATTATTGATATTATGTTATGTTCTGAATAAATATGAAACTTGCATGTTTACAATTAGTCTCTTTATTCTGTAAATAACCACAAACAACTATCTCTATACTTACTGTGCTTTAATGTTGATGTTGTACTATATTTGAATAAAGTGTTATTTGAGCAATATGCCATGTTTTTTCTTCTTCATAAAAACAGAAACAGACCCCCATGCTCTTTGGATTTAATTTTCAGATACCACTGCAACATGATTAGTGATAAAAAAACACATACTTATGCTATTTTCATTTGTTTCGAATGTGAATGGTGACAGGATCCGATTTAACGTTTGATAAGATCTACACCACAAACCACAAGGTCACACCCCAGTTTACACAGTAGACACAGAAGACAGTCTTCTTCCATTCGATGTGCATGAGGCTGTCTGTAGTAACTTTGGCCTATTTGACACCCACTCAGCCCCCTCTCTCCCTCCTCACTGTTTGGCACAAACTCTTCTCATGATTAAAGTCAGAGACAGAAGAAAACGTTGCTCCCACCTGGAAAATCTCTTAATTTCATTAAAGTCCAGCCGAAAAGTAAGAGAAGATGAAATCTAATGGAAGGTGGTCAGGCTAAACACGTGAGTCAAACTAAAAGACGGGCTGTGTGAGTGATTGACATCATATCCTGCTGAGTGAGTGACAGGAAAAACCTGCTTAGTGTAGAGTTAAAACTGCTGAGGTGAACATCAGCGGATCAGCTTTGTATCTTGTACTTGGATCAAAATACATCTTTAATGCCCGATTCATATCATAAATCTTGTAATCATTAATTATTTAGAGTACAGTTATTTTACTTAATTGGTTATTTGTAATTTTTTACACATATTGTATTACTGTATTTTGAACTTTAGATTGTTTGTTGGTAATATTTTTTCATGTCTGTAATAGTAGTACATAGAGCTGCTGCTCAACACTATGCAGTAATGTTATTTTGTATTGCCCCTGTGAAATAAACACACACAAACACACACATGTTGGTTTTATGATTTATGGGGACTCTCATAGACGTGATGATTTTTATACTGTACAAACTGTATTTTCGAGGTGAACATCAGCGGATCAGCTTTGTATCTTGTACTTGGATCAAAATACATCTTTAATGCCCGATTCATATCATAAATCTTGTAATCATTAATTATTTAGAGTACAGTTATTTTACTTAATTGGTTATTTGTAATTTTTTACACATATTGTATTACTGTATTTTGAATTTTAGATTGTTTGTTGGTAATATTTTTTCATGTCTGTAATAGTAGTACATAGAGCTGCTGCTCAACACTATGCAGTAATGTTATTTTGTATTGCCCTGTGAAATAAACACACACAAACACACACATGTTGGTTTTATGATTTATGGGGACTCTCATAGACGTGATGATTTTTATACTGTACAAACTGTATTTTCTATCCCCTTACCCTACCCCTCACGCACACTTTCTGCATTTTAAAATTTTTAACAAAACATTGTTTAGTATGTTTTTAAAGCTATTTTAATTAGGAATACTCAAGAAATAGCGCATAAAACACATTTACTGTATGTTGTTATTCCAGTGTAATACCCATGTCATTACACAAATTTGTGTCCACACACACACACACACACACACACAGACGTACAATTAGAATAAGTAACAAATATATATTTTTACAATTATAAAAATGAAACACCTAAAAAATAAATGTGACAAAGTAAAAATGGATCAGC